GTTGGTCTACTTTAATAGTTTAATATTATTTACCCAACACAGAAGCGGATAAAAAAAAATTATTGGGACAGTGGACATAAAAAACATCCCCCATCTGTCCCATTAAGTCCCAAACTTGTAGTAAAATACATGAAGAAATAGCCCCGTACAATATTCACGCTGCATTAATGATAAAACAATTCATATCACAATCTAGTGTACGTTTACATGAAACTGCTTAATTTTATGACATGCAAAAAAAACAAAAAAACATAGAATAACTTGTTTTAAGAAAAAATGTGAACGATTACAAACAAACAGATTGCGTGTATATGTGACTGGTAGAAATTGTCTTCGTTTTTAATAATAGTAAGCATTAAGATTGTGACCAACTATAGAAAACAGCAATATCATCAACACGTGCTTTTCAAATGGTTGATTTCTTCTTAGCTTTAAGGGAGGAAAAATCACGTATGAGCAGAAAGTTTTCCGGGGGGGGGAGGCAAAGTAGTGTGAAATTGTGAAGTGAATAAAAAAATTATATATATATATATATTCTGAATGAATAAAGAAAGAATTATATTTCTCATTTTCCAGGGGGGCCAAGTGCCCCTCCTTGGCCCCCGGCGGACGCCCTTGCGTATGAAGTTATTAAAGCCCATTTGTTGAGTTTTTGTTTTAGAGTAACCTCTCATTGGGATATATACTGTATCCACCGCGGGGAATCGAACCTCTGATTTTAGCTTTGTAAGTTTGTATATTTAGGCCTAACACCCACAGTTATTATGCAGTGGAGGAGCCTTTGTTTAGCAAGACTTTGGAAGATCAGTTTCATATCGTACAATATTTTCTGTGACAATTACAAACAACATGCTGAAAGGCAACCCATTAAATGCTTCTCATGAAAATTTGAGGGGATCCCAGTTATTGAACTAGTTATAATTCAAATGCTGTAAGAGAAAGCAATCAGACACGTTGTTAATCACAGCTCATTTATTATCCTTGTCGTTCTGTTAATTCTCCTCCACTCTGCATTACAGCAATCTTCCTAGTTGGCTGGACGTTCATCCACCCCTGACTCAAATCCTTGCATAATTTGGAATATTTTTTTGAGCACTTAGCGTTTGACGTCGGTTTACTGTAAAGGTCATAAAAATTAAAATAATGCAAGTTTTTCTGAAATGTATTCTGTAACATATATTTCCTTTTTGGTATATATTATAGTTAATACTTAATCACGAAAAAAATTATACTAATATTACAAAACCTTGCTTTCTCTAGTGTAAACTCTGTGTGAAAGGTCACGGGACAACTTACCTTGGCCATTTCTTTATTACAGACAAAGGCTTTAAAGATTATACCTTCAGGCGGGTTCAGACAGCTTGTATTTTTTATGACATTTCAAGTCTCACGGAGCTAGCTTGAAAACGGGGGAGTAGAGGGGAGCTTAGATGTACTCGTTTTTATGAACAGAACTGTACGTACACGTACTGTTCGTTGGGCGAGATAACCAGGTGTATGTTCTCCTGTGGAGGAAATTTGGTACCTGAAACACCATTTCATATATATAAAACTCATCAGATTTTATGCATTTATGGGCAATGTGATTTTAATTTATCATGGTTATTTTCTAATACGTCTTTGGTATAGGAATTGCGCACAAAATATGTAAAAAAAAGTATTTTATGGATTGAATAGCAAGAGAGGCCTTTCAAACCAGCCCAAGTAAATAAGTAACACTGAATATGATATATTTAATATTTTTCCATTCCATATACAGGTCCTAGCAAACGGAAATATGAACTAAATATTCTAAATAAGTTTCTATCACGGTTTTCGGACTAAACTTGACAGTCAACAAGATCTTATTAATAAGTAACATTCTAGTTTGTTAAGTACGCTCAGCGTTATCGAATTGGCATACACGCGTGTGTGTGTGTGCGTGAGGGGGGGATTTAGATCATATATAATATTAAATGTTGAAATCCTTTGATTAATATTTTTATCCTAATAAATAGTTTGTTATTTATTTATAATGATATAACAGTTGTAAGGCTAGGTAAGGTGACAGAAAGGTAAGCAAAACCAGTAGTAAGTTGAATGTCACAAAGTACTGACATCCTGTGTACAAAATGATTATTAAAGCTCGAGCATATCATTTAGTGTTGCAATATTGCAAACCATCCGAAATGCATAGATGACAGTTATTACCAGTTATCGTTCATGCAATGATGATAGAAGTAGGGCCTAGAATCCGTGTTTCTCAACCACCTACGCGCGGACTTACGCCGGTCCGTGGAATTTCGTACACATACACACACAAAGACAGAATATTCACGTCTGAATCTTAATCATTTTTCGTTGTACTTACATTTTACCATCCCCAACAGTTTAGGGGAGCAGCGAGCCGGTCCCTGGTATATAAAAGGTTAGGAAATCAAAGCTGGCTTAAATCACTGCTATGACTGTCATGTCCCGGCCTACCTGACGAGCCCTTCAGCACTGTATGACATACATAGTGTGGTTGACATATTAAGGTATATATTTCTTTGTATTCACTAATTAGTTTTTAGAAATATACTCGGTACAAATTCATACATTTTGATTCTGTCCGTCTCCTTATATTGAGAGTCATTAATACGTTGTTATTGTATATTTATTAGTTAGGTTATAGTTAGCCTAATATTATGCTTAGTAAAAAAAAAGTGTGCTGGCACACACATATGATTGCCATGGAACATCAATTACATAATAGCAATTCATTTGTCCAAATGCATTTTGAATCGCTACAGCGGGAGTCCGTCCGTCACCTAATATTGGCAGTCCCCACCCTATTATTATTATTATCTTACAAAAAGAAGTAATTAACCTTACGATTAAAAAGAGCTGTGCCCGGCATGGCCAGGTGG